GGGCACAGGGGAGGGGGGGAGCTGGCGCCCCTGATTTAAGATCAAAAGAATTTTTGAGTTTTTTCAAAAAAATCCAGATTGGTTTTCTTGAAATCTGTAAATCTAAAGGCAGTGGTACAATCTATCAAATGCAACTTGTCCATGTCAAGAACACCAGAGCTTGTTATAAGTAAGTTATTTATCTATATCTTAAGGAACTCAAATACTTGACCAGTCTACAAGCTGTTAAAATTAAAATTCTTGAGTTCTTTCACCCTGCTGACCCCCGTAATGTTTCCCTAAGGCTGTGTTGTTGGTGATGTGCCTTGTGCTGGCAGTTATCTAAATCTATTTTATCAACTGAAACTAACTTTGCCGGACCCCCCTCTCAGCTGTGTCCCAATTATCTGCTTGAATCTTACGGCAGGTATCCAAATGTCAACCGTCTTCCATGTTAGCTCCTCTGTGGAGTAGATTCAGTAATTAGTACCTGTGGGATGYGTCAGTGTGATCAGAGGGCGAGGGCTAAGCATGGCTCCACACTCAAGCGGTCCTTCATAACATTGTAATGTTCAGACAGGGATTTTTGTTCAATAGAGCCCCTTAGTCAGATGTGGTGGTGTCAGCCGTGTGCAGGTGACAGAAACTTGGCCAKGTGGTGTACTGAGGTGATTCTTAGAGTTCTCACAGCTTTGGGAGTTGTGTTCCCACAATTACTTAGACAGAAAAGTATAAGGTTTATTTAAGTTTGAAAGTCGTCTCTTAGCACAGATGTGAATAAGAGGGCAAAGAATTAGAAACTAGAGATTTAGCATTTCTTTTATGTCTGAGTATAGCTGACTTTGGTTCTTTTTAATTCAAAAAATCCTAAAGCTAGAAAATTAATATTACTGTCAGTGTTTTGTGAAAATTCCAATTATATTAGTTTTTTACTATCATTAAATGTTATAGCTTGTTTAATTTATTTTTGTGAACTCAAAACCCAGCAAAAACAGGTGGTCTCAGCCTGAATATAAAAAAAACATATGATTTGACTTTCTTGACTAATTAACAAAGTTTCACTTTGTCACAAATAAAAGTAAGTCTCACAATTTTGGAATTAAATGCACAAAATGATAAGTGTTGGGTGTAACAGGAGACAGCCCACTGTGGTGACAATGGCAGGTCTCAGATTTATCGCTCACAATTATTTAAAGCTGTTTTGTAACTGCAGTATCTACGGTGGCCGACAGGTGCAAACACACAGCAAACCGATAAATGCTCTGCAAATGGAAAAGCGAACACAGTAATCACACAAACAGTCACAGACAGCAGAGAATCTCACAACAATCAGTATTTTTCTACATGTACTGGTCACTGAAATCGGAAGGGAGTAGTTTGGCAGTAGTTACTGTAACAATAGTGTAACTTAGTAAAACACAATTTAACATTAGTAAAACACAGCTTAACATTGTTTTACAGTGATTCTAATGAAAATCTATGTTTGTGTAGCTCTGACATGCTTTAAAAATACAACCAACAAGGTTTTAAAAAACAAAACGTAAGGCACTGAAAGCTTTCAAAGCTCAAATTAGGTTGTTGTTCTTTTCAATCTGTTCTGAATAAACTTAGTCTGAAAATGAAGCATGAGGCTGTTTTTTTTAAGTTTCTCACATTTCCTCATAGCATCATGCTAATGCTAAGACCATGCTAACAACAACAACAGAAATCAAATAACCTCTATTATCTGCATTGAAACTGTGTTTAAATACATCCTCTTGTAAATACTGGAAATGTGAACTACATAATACAAATTACTATTAAAAGTAAAGATAAGAAAGTTTAAATTACGGTTGATATGAGACTGACCTGCATTCGGTCTGGGGGTGTGGTTGGCGGTCAAATCTAGTAGAGTCTCTCTAGTGGTCTGGTGCACTTGCATTTTGTGGAGTGAAGTTTGCAAGTGTTTTGTTGAATGCTGTTCCTTTTTATATATATGCATCATTTTCTCTTTGCTGCTCATTTTGTTGTTTCCAGTGTGTTTGCACCTGTCAGCCACTGTATGCATCAACCAAAAGAGAGATGAGACAAATGAACAAACAATAATAAATACAGTCACTGAAATAAAAGGTCATTTTGAATACCAACAAACCTAGCCTGGTCCTTCGCTTTGCTTCGTTCAAGGTCTGGACTCTCAGCTATATAGAAGTGATTCTTGATGGAGGTGTGGCCTCTGTTGAAGTTTAAAATGATTGAACTGGTTGGCCGCGACATATGTGTATGCCAGCTCCACTGTGAAGGAGGCGAAGTTAAGAAGCTAACCAGAAATTGCATGTGCTGCAAACAACCCTACTGAGAGGAGAGACATGCTAAGCTCAACAAGATGACTGTAAATGAGTGCTGCAGGCTTTGTCAGACAAATTTAATTTGATTTGGAAGCCTTATCAACACAGACTGGCTTCATCCACTTCCTCCACTGCCATTGCTAAACTAACTAGCAGACACTGCACAGAACATCGACGTCGTTCAAAACTCCGCCTTCTGTTTGCTGATTGGGCCGGATGAAAATTCTCCTGAAGAAATCCTTGTCTATGGGAAAAATCCCAAACGGAGCAGTGAAGGAAACTAGAAATGAATGGAATTACGTAGGAAGGCAAGGGCCAGGCTACAACAGACCAGTATTGGATAAGTAAATGATCAGATTTGCAAGAATCTGTCAGGTCTAAAATGGGCACCAGCATAGGTTGTTTCATAAGTGAAGTAATTCTAGTGTTATCAAGCAGTTGCTGGAGCCTATAACAGTCAGTCAAAACGTTGAGTAAAGGTCACAAGCCACAGCCAGTGTCTCATAAATTCATTGGATAGCATTACCAGCTTTTGACGAAGGTTAAATGAGGTTCTATTGAGGGTTTGCATAAGCCCAGAATACACTGTACATTTGCCCAACATGTGAGGATTGTTTTGTGTGCAATGTATCACAGAGCTATGACATCTGCTTCTGGCACAGGTATTGGACTCTTTACAACATTCAGCATCATAATCAGCTGTCTCACGTGTGGGCTGCTTTGAATATCAAAGCAGAGACAGTTGTGTCAGGAGTTGTGCCAAAATGAGGAGGCATGTGTTGATAACAAGTGATGTCACATCATGTTCAGCAATGAATCTTGGTTCTGTGTTACTGCATATGACCATCATGTGTATAGTGGTGCCAAAGGGAGAGGACCAGTCCTACCAACGTTCTCAGATAGACATGCTGACTTTACTCCATTATGACGTGGAGAGACAGAAATTAAGACTTCAAGTCATTTCTCTGGACCTTGATGGCACACCCTGACAACACACCGCTATGTCAACTTTAGTCTGAATTCCTCTGCTCTGTCAGATCATGAGGGACAGTTACAACAGCTGTAGACTTGCTTGCTGGGAGAATACAACAACTGTAAGACTGTTCTGCACTGAATCACGGCTTGTATCCAGGCTAGGAATGGTGCTAATTTCTACAAACGTTCCCAGCAGTGTACATGTATACTGCGATCTGTTCCTTATTTGATCTGATATTGTAATCTGTCACATGGTCTTTCTGTACATTTTCATTTTCATCACTTAATCTGGGTGCATATTTTTCAATGTTAGTGAGTGTGCATTGCACATTTTGTATGTAAGATAGTAGACATTTATAGGATGGTCAGAACTCAAATGAAGCATATTCAAAGAATAAGCAAAAGTTAGAATATACAAAATGTGTTACTTCATGATCCATTGTCTCATATACATACATACATATATATATACATATATATATATATATATA